AGAAATGAGTTGTGTGGAAACCGGCCGCGACGGACCCCTTTTTACAAATCATATCACATTGTTGCTCGGTTTAATTTTTCCAAAGTGTTCTTGAACAAAGTTGATTTTGGGAACAAATGCTACGGAGTGATGAAAGAAAAATTGAACTTTTTGGAAATGATGATGTACAGAAGATTTGGCACGAGAAAAATAACGTTTTCCTCACAAAGAAGACAGTGGCAAAATTGAAACTTGGAGGCGGCTCGATGATGTTTTGGGGTTGTTTTGGCTCAAGGGGAACTGGACAATTACTTGCAATAAGAGCAACAATGAAATCCGCAGACTATATTAAAATTCTGGATGAAAATCTGCAACTTACAGTGCAAAATCTTCATCTAGATCGGAGATTTTCTTTCTAGCAAGATAATATACGTCTAAATCCGTGACTACTTAGCTTCAGAAAAAAAGAAGATTGTAGTTCTACCATAGACTTCAATGAGTTCTGACTTGAATCCTATTGAAAATCTATGGCAAGAACTGAAATTTCGAATAAATCGTCGGTCATCAAAAATACTTTCAGGAATTAGAACGTGTAACCATTGAATAATGGAAGAAAATCCCAGAAAAGACTTGTTCAAATCTCATCAAAAACTTTAGAAAACAATTATAGCAAGTTATAAGGATGAGAGGCCATGCTGTTGATATTGTGAAAATTGTTCAATTTTTTCTAATTTTCATGCTGTACAAATAATTTTGTCTTCCTATATTACACGATTCGCCATGAAATTTGTTGTATTTAATCTACTGTTCTGAAAATAGAATTTTACATTCATTTTCTGTGCTGATTAACATATAAAAAAATCCTGGCATCATACAGGATTTAGATTAATAGAAATGGATAAAAATACTCTAAATTGATGAGTGTACGAACAATTTCGTCGTTGACTGTATATATGACTTTTTGAGTGGATCCTTCAGATTGTCTTTATAGCGCTTCGGGGGTTTACACTGTTGCCGTCTCTCTGTGCTAAATACCCATGCAGAAACAACTCCATTTTCCGTTAAAAAATCAAATCCAACTCGAAAGGAACTAGATTTCAAAACTTCGAGGAAATCCAAAAGAATGCTGCCACGAGGCAGTTGCACGGTATCCCCTACCCACCAATAAAAAGAAAAAGAGTTCCAGGGATGTTTCCATCAGTGAAAACGAGGCTGGATAAAGCTTGTCGTTTCAGAAAGAGGCTGAATTCATACGTGTCATATTTTAATTTTTATAGCACCAGTCCCGATACTTTTTGATCATTCCCTCATGCGCGTTTCATTTTGGTCAGCGGTGAGCTTAACCCCTGTAAGCGTTCAACACAAGGGCGCTTTTCGAGCGTATGACCACTCATCGGGATTGGTGATGGTTTCCCGTTTGTTCGGGGTAATGAAATGTCACGAGTTAAGTTTTGTTTGTATTGAATGATATCAGTCAGCCCTTTTTCCAATTGAGCTGTAAGAGTTAGATCAGCGGGTAGAGCTGCACCAATAAATCCTGGAGTCGTCTGCGTATACGTAGGGTTCTGGGAGTCTTCTTGGTTAGATCTTTGAGATAATGGAGAAAGTTGGAGAGAACCGTGGAGAGATCATTGTGGGGATGCCAGCATTGATTCTCATGGGGCTTATTAGAATTTGCCATTAACAAAGACAATTTAAAAATCAGGAAAGACTTGATAACTGAGGGTTTATTTTATAGATTTTTCAGTCTTTCGGGTGAAGAGTATTTTAACCCAGGTCGTATTTTTGTACGGAAAAAAAAAATAATTGCTTCGAGGAAATTGAATAGAAAACATAATATGCGGTCGTTATACAAAAAAAAAAAATTCCTCGAATGGGGGCAAAAACTGGTTAATCCTTCCTGGGATTTCAATCCCAGGAAGCGTTTTTTATGGATTCCTTTTTTTTTTCAGACCGCCTCTCCCTTGTAATTTACATTTCTCTTGATAAAAGACCAAGTGCATGAAATTCGTAGAAAATTATATAATTCAGTTTTATTTTTCTCAACATCGTGATGCTAGCTTAACCCTGCTGCGACTGTATTTTTTTTTCCAGTGTGATAGATTTAATGCTCAGCTGTCGTATAGCAAGGGCGAATAAATTAAATTTACAGATTACTGACTCGCCCGCCAGATTCGATTTTCCTTCCCTACAAAATGTCCTTCTATCAAACACTGTCATAATAAAGTTCTACAGATTTCTAAATAAGTAATATCCAATGGAAGTGCTATGCGAGGAAAATTTATTGGTATATTGTGTTTTCATTATGAGTATTATTATACCGACAACATAATAAAACATTAATGCACGGACTGAACGGTAAAACTGAAAAGATATTTTAAGATGCTTTGTTCTCAGAGAGGGTTTTATACCGCTAAATATTACACAAGATTATATACACATATTTACACGGGTCCCACACGGAGAAACTATACCTCATGTATACCACACAAGTAGTGGGGAAAATACAGAAGAGTGAGAGGGTCTTAGTTTTTATAAGTCATAGCAGAAGTCTGAGCTATCGGTGAATTCTTCTGTTCCTGGAGAAGCAATATTGGTATTTCCCAACGGATATTAGAAAGGGCTGGCTTTTTCTTTTGTATCACTAGCGAGGCCATATTTCTCAAACTAGAAAACAGCCATCATGGGTATTTCCCACACTGAGATGCATTTATCACTTTAAGCTTTTTGAGTAGGGCTCCGATTATATATTAAACATTATAGTGAATTTATTTTTGTCTACCGGCCTTAAAGTTCGAGAAATCTTATTAAATAAAAATTTGCGAACTCCAGCATAACTCGAGCCTGTGTCTTTTAGGACATAAGGGGGTTAGCATTACGCTCCGGCACGCTCTAAACAACTTAGCCACAGAGAATCGTCGGTAACCCACTCTTTTTCAATAAAAAAAATTGCGCTCTCCGGCAAGATTTGCACCTGCGACGCACAAACCGGTAAGATGAAAATAAATGAATATACTGCTTAATAAATAAACAAAGTGCCTACTCAAATCCACTAAGTAACGTTTAAAGTCACGAAAATCTGTCGGATAAATAAGAAGTCCATTCTAAAATTCTCGTTTGGATATGAAACTGTGTAGATGAAAAATTTCGGGAGGTCGATGACTCGAGAAATTTCGCTTAAAGGCACAACATTTGGCCTCACCTGACCCACGGTTCTCCGTGGCTAAGTTGCTTAGAGCATGCCGGGCATTACGAAACATCCACCCCGGCATGCTCTGGGAGATGCAAGTTACAATTCTGTCGGAAAGCGCAAATTTTCTTAAAAATTCTTGCCGGCAAACGAAAATCTATACCAATAAAGCACAATGTACGTGTGTCCGTTCGTTTGTATTTCGAGCTAAATAAGATAAATATTTTGTTATATTTTCATGAAATAATTTATGGATTTTTAAGGATTTTCTTTACTTTTATATATATATATATATATATATATATATATATGAAAGAAAGAAAGAAGAGTACGATATATAATCTGGTGTTCTTATTAAATTTATATTATTTTTTTTATTTTTACAAAACGGTGCTTAGTGCAAATCTACAGAGCATAAATATTAAAATTTACTAATTTAAAAATATGATTCCATCGCTACACAGAAATTACCATGTTTTAAAAAACAGAAACTAAAAACTACAACTATAGAATTAAATTAAAGTCCCTAGTCCCGTTTCATTCTCATGCGAATTTTAGTTACTGTTTCTGACACATGGTAATTCCTGCGTTGCGATGAAACCATATTTTTAAATTAATGAATATAGTTTTAAAGTATGCTGTATTGACGGCTAAAAGTGCTCAATATCAGAGATAGAGCTTATGTAAATATAAGAGTGGAGTCTGTTTCACGCTTGAACGCAATCATCAGGACAGAAGTTTGTTTATTTTAGTATAATTAGCACAACTTTTTTTGTGAAGAACACCACCTTGCAAATCTTATACATTTCGCATCAGTGACGTTCTGATCAACTACGAAAACAAACTGACCGTTAATATCTACAGAAGCGATTCGTTAGAGGTCGTGCCATCTAAGGACACGACCTCTAAAGAGTGTTCGTCTCAAGGGCGAATACGTAGCAACAACTGTTTTAGAAGTCTCAAACTACAGATAGCATAATCGTCAACTGGAGTCGGAAATCTGAGGTCAAAATTCGGCCAGGTTTATTGCCCTCGGGAATGGCATGAAACTATTTTTTTTTTTTTTTTACCACGGCTTTTTTCCATGTACCGTGTCCTTTCAGGACTTAGACGATCATGGCTCTCCACTTCTCTCTATCCCTTGTAGCTCTCAATAAGTTTCGTCCCTCTGACACCTGCCACCTCCCCCAGAACACGCTCTGTCATCCACTTGCTTAAGCCCACCAAGTACATCATGCGTTACTTTCCTTGTCTCTCTTTCCCTCTATTCGACTTGTGAGTATCAGATTCTCCAAGCCCTCCTTTCTCATTACGGGTCCCAGAAATTTCAGCTGCCTCTTACTGTTGTTAAGTATAAGCTTCCTTCTTGTTTGCATCATCTCTATAACTTCATCGTTGCTCACACACTCGGTTCATGTTATTCTCAGCATCCTTCTGTAGAACCATATCTCCGTTGCCTCGAGTCTCTTCTTCATCTTTGAGAAGACCGTCCGACATTAGCTACCGTAAAGGAGGACAGATATCATGTAACAGCTCAATACTCCCCTCTCGAAATACTCTGCCCAGCTTTTGAAATGCGTTCGTGGTTATCCCAGTGCGTCTTCGTATCTCAGCCTCGGACTTAATTCTCAAAACATTTCCCAGATCTTTAAACTTCCGCACCTTGTTGAATTTAGCGTCCCCAACCTGGAAATCGCATTTCGGGCTCATCCTTTTACTGATGACCATTCATTCTGATGCGTTAAATAACAGCGTAGACCGGACCCTAGAGCCATAGGTGGCCGCAGCTACTCTGATTTCCGGAAACTAATCCATTCTTTTTTCACAGAATATGAGAAAAAAATCTCTCTCTCTCTCTCTCTCTCTCTCTCTCTCTCTCTCGAGAGAGAGAGAGAGAGAGAGAGAGAGAGAGAGAACTGATCGTCCACGTCCTGAAGGTACGTGTCATTTGAAAAAAATCCCTAACACCGCTTGAATAATAAAACTCTAATAACCTTAGCTTTCACGACTGTAACTTTACCACTAAGCGTACTTCAGCCAAAAGGAATATATATATATATATATATATATATATATATATATATATATATATATATTCTGCTTTTTTAAGTTCTTTACTTCGGAAGATCTTTTCATGCCTCGTCTAATTTAACGCCTGTAAGCATAAAGTCAAGAGTGCATGTTTGCACTGGGACATAAAACCACAAAGGTAGGATTTTATGTAATGAGTTCCAGGCGCCCCGACGTTTCCGTCACGAAATCGAGATCTTTTTTTAAATCTAACTCACACCCCATATATATATATATATATATATATATATATATATATATATATATATATATATATATATATATATATATATATATTTTTTATATATATATATATATATATATATTATATATTTTATATATATATATATATATATATATTTATATATCTTTTATATATATATATATATATATTTCTCTTTATATATATATATATATATATATATATATATATATATATATATGGGGTCTTCTTCAAGAAATACAGGCAGATTTGAATTTAACGAGTTAGTTTGTAATATTTACTTACACTGTTCTTTACTTATTTATGTATCTTTTTACTTCTTTTTTCTTTCCTTTCATTCTTTCTTTCTTTTATTTTTCTTTCTTTTTTCTTTCTTTCGTTCGTTTTTTTTTTCATTTCTTTCTTTGTTTCCATTCTTTCTTTCTTTCTTTCTGTTCGCTGTTGTTTTTGTTTCTTCATGTCACTATTGTACACCCCCGTCTTTTTTGTATAACCTTCTAAATTTCTTTCTTCCTTATTTTCTTTTGTTTGTTTGTTTTCTTTCTTTGTTCTTGCTATATTTTTCACTCTCTTTTTTATATAACCTTCTAAATTTCTTCCTTCCTTCCTTATTTTCTTTTATTTGTCTGTCAGTTTGTTTGTTTGTTTGTTTGTTTGCTTCTTTCTTTCTTTCTTTCTTTCTTTCTTTTCGTCATTGCCTGTTATTTTCTTTTGTTTATAAACCTTTATATGTTTTCTGTTTTGTCGTTTTCTTTCTTTATTCTTTTTTACTTCTGTATTCTTTCTTTCTTTCTTTCTTTTTTTTATTTTTTGTTCAGCATGTTACTATTCTTCTCTCTCCTCTTCTTTCTTTTTTTAAAATTATACAGTTTTGTATTATTTCGTGTTTTTTATTGTTGTCTTTGTTTCTTCTTTCCTCCTTCCTACTTTCCTTTCCTTTCTTTCTTTCTTTTCTTTCTTTCTTTCTTTCTTTCTTTCTTTCTTTCGTTCCTCTTTTCTTTCTTTCTTTCTTTCTTTCTTTCTTTCTTTCATTCCACTGTTTTTGTTTCTTCATGTTGGTATTTTTCTCTTTTACTCATCTTTCTTTGCATAGATCTAAATATTTTCTTTATTTTTTTCATTTTCGTTCTCTTTCCCTTTCTATGGCCTTTTGTCCTTCTTCTCGATTGCCTTCCTTCTTCTTTCTTCAAATTCTTCATAATTTTTCTTCTTTTACGTTTTCTTCCATCTCTTCCTCTTTTATTTTTCTTAATTTCATTTTTTCTTCTTAATTACATTTATTTTTCTTTATTCTCTTCATTTATCATCTCAACACTTTTGCTTCTTCATTTTGTCTTTTACTTATCGTCTTTCTTATTTTGTTTAATTTCTTTGTTTTGTTTCTTATTCGTTTTTGTTTCTTCACATATCTATTTTATTCTCTATTTTTCTTTTACATTATCCACTTTTGTCTTTCTTATTTTCTTTCATTGCGTTCTCGTTGTTTGCTTTTTCGCCCTTGTTATTTTCTTCTGCTCTTTTCCTTTTCTTCATCCCTTTCCTCGTTCTTTCTTTCTTTCTTTCTTTCTTTCTTTCTTTCTTTCTTTCTTTCTTTCTTTCTCCCCTCACTATGTTATTTTCTTCCGATTATATTTTTAATCCTCTGTCTTTTTGTTTTATCCATTTCTTTCCTTTACATTTTCCGTTTCTTTCTTTCGGTCGGACGTTCTGCTTTTTTATCTTTCTTTTTTCTTTAATTCATTCTTTCTTTCTTTCTTCAATTGTTTTTTTTAATTTATATATCATTTTTCCTTTACTGTTTTCTTTTTTCTTTTGGCCTCGGTTGGTTTTCTTCTTTATTTATGTTTTTTTTTTTCTTCGGTTCCTTTTCGCCTTTCTCAATTTCTATCTATCTATCTATCTATCTATCTATCTATCTATATTTATGCTCGCATTTATTTGTTTTCTTTCTCTTCCTTTTCGTCTTTTACAATTTCTTTCGTTCGTTCTCTCTTTATGCTCGCATTTATTTATGTTTTTTTCGGAACGTTTTCTTTCTTCAAAATTTCTTTCTTTCTTTCGTTCTTTCTTTCTTTCTTTCTTTCTTTCTGTCTGCTCGCATTTATTTATGTTTTCCTTCTGTTCTCTTTCATCTTCCTCAATTTTCTTTCTTTTTTCTGTCTGCTCGCATTTATTTGTTTTCTGTCTGCTCCTTTTCGTCTTTCTTTCTTTATATTCACATTTATTTATTTTCTTTCTGTTCCTTTTCGTCTTTTAAAATTTCTTTTCATTCTCTCTATATGCTCTCATTTATTTATATTTTCTTTCATTTCTTTTCGTCGTTCAGAACTTCTTTCTTTCCTTTTTTCTTTCTTTCTTTCTTTCTTTCTTTCTGCTCGCATTTATTTTTGTTTTCCTTTCATCTACAATTTTCTTTCTTTCTTTTTTCTTTATATTCACATTTATTTGTTTTCTTTCTCTTCCTTATAATCTTTCTTTCTTTCTTTCTTATTTCTCATCTTTCTTTCTTTTTGTTTTCACTGATAAATATTCTTTTTTTTTCTTTTCGTGTCTCTTCATTCGTTCATTCTTTCTTTCTTTATTTCTTTTTACCTTTCTTTTCGTCTTCACTCGTGAAAATTTTTTCTTTATTTATTTATTTATGCATTTATTTATTTTTCTTTCTCTTTCCTTTCATTCCTTTTTGTTTTCACCAGATAAAGAAAAAAAAGGAAAGAAAGCAAGAAAACGAAAGAAAGGGGTGGATGGATTGTTTCGCATCTTTCTTTCTTTTTCTTTCTTTCTTTGTTTGTTTCTTTTTTTTCCCATTGCTATTCTTTTTGTTATTCCTTCTTTCTTTCTTTTCGTTTTCACTCGTAATAATTTTCTCTTTGCTTCTCTTCTTGCTTTTTTCTTTCTTTCTTACTTTTCGTTTACAATGGTAATCTTTATTTTTTTTCCCCATTGTCTGCTTTCTTTCTTTCTTTCTTTCTTTCTTTCTTTCTTTCTTCTCCCCATCTATTTAAATTATTCTTTATTTTTCTTCCTTGAAATCCCTCACCACATTTCAATTTTTCGTTTGCTTGACTTCTCATTACATGCCGATTTTGCTATTTCCAATCTATTTTCATTTTTTTTTCTTCTTTTGTTTTAATTTTATTCAATTTTTCACGTTTCCTATTTCTATTTTTCCTTTTCCGTTTTCTGTGTCTTCCCATGTCATTCTTGATATCAACGCCTTTTAGGACCAGCAAAGATTTCTTCAAAACTTTACACACACACACACACACACACACACACACATATATATATATATATATATATATATATATATATATATATATATATATATATAATATAACGCCTTTTCTTGCTGGGATGAATAATTCCGCCCAAACAGTAGCAAAGGGGAGTAACTGCGTGAATCTGCCTTGAAATGACACGAAAATAAGTAAATCTAAATAAGAATAGGTTGCTTATAAATACAAATAAAATAGAAAAAAAACTTGGGCAAATTTCATAATGCATTACTGCTGATGCATGTACAGTGTGCAAATGCTTCACCTGAAGCTAATTATAATATTATGCAGCGGGAATTATACTTGCTTGTATAGCAGAATGGTTAATGTGAATAACCAGGTTAGAGGATGGATGAATTCAATGCATCGCTTGTGGTCATTCGTTTGAACAGCAGGGGAAAGGTTACACCAACGTCCAAGTCAACCAGGCATAAAACGAGAGAATTCATTTTTAGATGGTAAATGTATGGCTATTTTAGTTTAAATTATATTCTATATCCGACTGCTCGACATTACTAGGATTGCTAGCTTCTTCCTGTTGCCGAAACCTGTCCAGAGAAATTGTGACTTCCTTCAGCGCCCACGGAAAAAAAAAATCTATATCGCAACTGTTCTAAGCTAACTTTGGTTTTCGAGATAGACTTTGGTTTCTGGGAGAGACTTTGGTTTCTGGGAGAGATTTTGGTTTCTGGGAGAGACCACATAATCTGCCGCTAAGAACAGGTTGAACAAGGCTAGTACACTCAAGACATCAGTAACGATGTCTGTTAACGATGTGATAGAACAACGATCAATAGCTCTGAACAGTTAAATCACAATGGTTGGACCAACTCGTGGCATGGCCTTCAGTTACGTACAACGTTGCCGCGCGCTGGGATCGTCTCTACAGCCCAACACAAACACTCACCACCCTGAAAAATTCACTATGGTGAAATTGGGACTGGGGTCTCAGGGAATTTAAGGCTTCTTCTTCTTCTTCTTCTTCTTCTTCTTTGTGCCATGTCCCTTCAGGACGTGGATGATTATGTCGCTCCGCCATTTTACCGTTCTTCGTAGCTCTTAATAAATTTGGTTCTAGTACAGATGCGTACTGGAAATTGGCGTACCAGGCATTTGCGTCCTTAGATAAATGTTTCTCTGGATAATTGCGTACCTCTCATAACTTCTTGACGCTTTTAAAGGCAATTACCATAAATTTTGAAGAAACCATACGAGGTAATAATAATTTTGTATAAAAAAAGGAATAAAAAGTAATAAAATAAAAAATAAAAGTTTATTTTTGTTTAAAATATAATGATAGATTAACAGTGTTTCAAGATCGCTCTACACATCGCCAGTATATTTTTGTTTCATCGATGTTTTTCTTATGATAGATATAGCTGTAATTTTCCTCTTCCACATATTTTTCTCCACCAGTGTTTGTTTTTCGAAACTTACCCATGGGTTTCAAATTAGAATATAATTTATAAAATCCAGAATCTATTAAATATCCGTGCTGACGTCAACATCCGCATTGTGTTCGTTCCACATCGTTCATATTCTCCCACATCCTCCCCACCATCATCGATCCACTTGTGCCAGCCGAAATCAGATGCTCGGCTCGCACAAATTGTTCGATAAGCATTCGGGAGCATTTCATACGTTTCTGTAGCATTTTTTGCCCATTTTAACACAGAATTTTATTGCATACGAGCTTTCAAAGTGTCTTCATGTCCTGACTGCAAACTTCTCCGCTCTGACAAGTTGTGTTTAGTAGGGTTTGTTAAAACAGCTTTTACATCCGTCTCCTTCAGTCAAAAATAACAAAATAGAATCCCCTCAGTTCAATACACTTGTTGCAACGATCCAGACACTTCGCGAAGACTCTATGTAAGTCATTCAAAATGAAGGTGTCCAGGACCCTTGTCATAGCCTCTTTCATCTTCACATCGTCTTCAAAACGACTGCCCCTGAGATTTTTCTTCAGTTTAAGGAACAACGAAAAGTCACAGAAGGAACGGTCTAAGAGGGACAGATTTGATGACCACCAACCATCTCCATGCTGTCACAAATGCGTCTTTCCTTCTGTTTGTTACTGAGGAATTTGCACAATTTTTGCGCATGTTCAGATCTTTAACGATTCAAATCATGAATAAATCTATGTAGAATTGCCACACCAACTCCAAAATGTGCGCTTCTGCCTAACCATTCCTCAGTAGTGTTTAGTAGGGCGTCTTCGAACGGGTGTTACAGCCGTCTTTTTTTCAATATGGAAGAACAAAAGTTGGCATACATAGAATCACACTCACACACAATTCATACTAAGATGGAGCTGAATCTTTCTTGACTCAATCTCATTTTTAGTGAGTCGCTCATTTCGTACGCATTAGAAAACATCGAAAAACAGAACACTTCATAAATGGCACACGTAATGTCGAGACACATAACGTTCGTCATTAAGAAAATTGCGAATTTTCTCAACCATCTCTTATGTTCTGACGTCTACGACCACTCTCTTCCCTCCACATCATTCATTTTCCTTCACATCCACTCTACCGTCATCGATCCTCTTGTTCCAGCGGGAATCAGACGATCGACTCGCACAATTTGTTCTATAAGCAATCCGGAGCGTCTCATACGTTTCTGTAGCATTTTTTGCCCAGTTTAACACAGAACTTTATTGCATAGTAAAGCTTCCAAATTGTGTGCATGTCCTGACTGCATTCTGCAAACATGTCCGCTCTGACAAGCAAATTTTAGTAGGTTTTATGAGCTTTTATAACCATCCCCTTCCATATGGAATAATTAAAGTTGGCAAGTCAACTTATTTGAGGGATAGTTAATATACACCAAAACTACAATAATTTAGGAAAGTTATAATTGCCTCTCAAAAAATGCCTTAAAAATTCTTGAATGCACGTCTTGTACATCATTGTCCATCTTCTTCTGCTATGGGCCATGTTCATTCAGGACGTACGATCATGGCTCTCCATTATTTCCTGTCCTTTTTAGTAAATTTTATCTTTTCGCTATCTCAGTATTCTCTGTGCTTCCAAACATTTACACACGCTTGTTCAGTAGTATATGCGCGGTTATATTATACACTGGTAAATCTTTTGGGGGGTTTAAAATCCATGCATTTTCGATGGCCGTAAACGAACTTGTAGCCCTTCATTCTCAAGAATGACTTGAATGTTCGTAACTCTGTGTATGCACTTCACTTCGTAAGATAGATTGAATTATGAACCGGTAATCCTGACAAAAAAATCGCCACTGTAAAGGTAGTACCTCAGCGATGTAAACACGGCGTTTCCCACCACTTGTGGGCTATTTGTGCAAAAAGAATGTACCATTTTGGGGTAGATTTGTAAAAAAAAAAAAAAAAAAAATGAAATTAATGAAAAGCATTTATCTTTTAAATAAAATACAATGTAAGTATGTTTGTGCGTGTGTGTATCCAAGCATCTCCTCTGCTTCAACTGGCTCCGATTTCAATGACTCATAGCTCAGTCAAAAGCCCTGGAAAAGTTACGCGCACGGAACGATTTTCGTTGAGCTCAGATTTGGGGTTGCCAGATTATGCAAGGTTAAAAACATATATTAATATATTATTCTAGCCATTATCGTTGCTTTCATGGTTCAAGGGGAGTAACTCTTATTTTTCTTTTGTATCCCAAATTACAGCCACCTTAAAATTTTCAGCTAGCTGAAAAGACGCTCTATCGGGCAGCATTTAAGCTAGCTCCTGTGGAGGACTCTTGGTTTGGCCATCATCCCAATAGCTAGTGAGGAGTAGATGTGATTGGTATCAATGAACTACTGAAGAACTCAAAATTGATTGCTGCATTTAAGTACTGATTTAATGTTAAGCATACCTTTTAAAAGTCTGTCTATATTTCTGAGATGAGGTATTATGTACAGTATTTACATTCATCGGACTATTGTCCTCATCTTTGTCGCCATATTTGTCACAACGTTTCGGCCGTTGTACGCTCCGGCCTTCTTCAGGTGGTTGGAATTTCGAACTGAACCCTTTATTTCGATCACTGGGGTAGACTGTTCTAATTCCACGTGCCATGTTTGATGGATGTCAGTTATCTCCTGCTAATTTTCCCTCTGAAAGTTCTCCACTGCCTTAACCAGGTATTGAACTCACCTTCTTTGGGTCTGTCACTGGATCTAACCAACGCCTTTATCCACTGTGCCATGTGTCCTTGAGGACTCAGGGTTCAGTTCGAAATTCCAACCACCTGAAGAAGGCCGGAGCGTATAACGGCCGAAATGTTGTGACAAATATGGCGACAAAGATGAGGACAATAGTCCGAAGAATGTAAATACTATACCTTTTAAAAGTTCAGCGATAATTTTTCTGCTACCACTTAATTTAAAGTTTGATGTACGTAAAGCCTTATTTTCCGTACGAACAATTATTTTCATTTCATGGGTGACAGAACAGGGGACAATTTATAAGTTTAAATTAATATAGTGTAAAGATGGGAAAATAGAAAAAATGGAATTAGTTATACAATCAACATTTGAAGAGTTAGAAAAATATAATAGCTAATTAGGTAAAACCTATACTATGGAAGCTGTATGAATGAATGCGAAATTGGAGCTCAATTCTCCGACGAACTCTGAGATTAAAATGCCCCCAGCTCTACTCCATAGTAATTTGCGTGGTATTTACTTGACCTCCCCCCCATGAGGTCAGGTTGTGACACAAGGTCGGTTTAATGTGGGGAGCCCGAGCACGTGCACCTGGGCAAGGAACAAAAATTCCCCAAGCCGTGCTACGAATCTTCTCTCTAGTGCAATGAGAAGGCGCGGCCTCGGGCAGCTGTTTCCCAGGGCCAGGCACCTCTCAGTATAATTTTCCTCAGTTGCGACTCTGTCCTTTGACGGAGTCGCCCCTGGGCGCACTCTGTCCAAGGACAGAGACGTAACTGAGAAATGATAAATAATACGTACAAATTTGCGCAATGGATGTTCAATAACTGTATTATATATTATCTACTTCTAAGCATTAATAGTCTTCAGGTTTAACTAATTTTTATATTGATTTTTTAAAAGTTTATTTCATTAAATTACTTTCCTTCATTACTGTTTTTTTTTTTTAATTCGAGGATGGTTTTTATTGCCATATAAAAAATAGTTCTGTTTAGGAACATCTTCTTATATAGTGCAGAAAAGTGTTTGAAATTTGTATTTTACTTGGCTTTCAACAAGTTGGCATCTATTTGTAAAACTTTCCTTAACTATAACAATCCAATTTATGAATGAAATGTTCATTTAAAATTTTTCTTTCAAAGATTTCAAGTAGTCAATATATCTTAATTTGTGAAGTTTGCTATACAATATGTCCATGGCCGGTAATACAATATACAAGTAGAGTAGGCCTGCTAGAATTACTCAGAATCTGGACTCACATTATACACGATAACATTATAACTTGTTTTCGATCAAATCTTCAGGGTTCGCACTATATATGAATTATAAACGAGTATATACGGCACACATTTATAAAAAATAATTGTAACCTTTTTCATCTTAAGTATTGAAAACTTTATTTATTCATATTGTATATTAAATGATAGCATTGCAGTGTGCTAATGTAGCCCTCTTTGTCTCTAGACACCAATATTTTCGGCCAAATTTGCCACTGCCTATGATAAACACGTTTACCCATTAAATAACGTTTATAGCAAAAAAGAAATATTTCAAGACTAGCTTAAAAGCCGACATATCGGGCGGCATTTAAGCTAGCTCCTGCAGAACGTTCTTGTTTGGGCCTTCGGCTTTTTAAGGACTTTAGTAGTCCCTAAGATTTTGCATATTCTCAGCACTGAAATCTCCACTGACTGCTGTTTGATCTGGGTTTTCATTTGTACGGGACTTCCTGTTCCTCGTTGCAGTTTTGACTCTTTTCATTGCAGTCTGGCTTTCTATTGACGGAAATTACTTTTTTGAGAGTCATAATGCTGTCGAATAAGATAGGCAACAATAAACTACAGAGGGACTCAAAACTGATCGCTGCATTTAAGTATTGATTAAATATTTAAACTTAGATTTTAAAAGTCCAAAGATAATTCGACCGACACTTAATTTAAAGACAGTTTGATGTACGTAGGTCCTTACTTTTCTATACAAACAATTATTTTTATTTCATGGATGACTTTCGCCGGATTTTGCAATTAATTTCAAATATTTCCAAATTCTAAAAATTGTTATCGTAAAAACAAAAAGAAAATTGTTGCAAAAAAATCACGTAAAAAATCACTGGTCTGGATCCAGCCCGAAATGTTTTGATTTTGTTCACGGGGTTGACATGATTATGTTAGGGTACGGCATCTAGGAGTAAAGATGAAAAGGTGCGACACAGTGATATTTGTATTTATTTATATAGATGTGTGTGCATTTTAGGCTTAGTGAAAGGTCACTGTTTTATATTTCAGGAATAATTGACCTTGAATAACCTTGAATAAATTTCTTGAACATTCATGAACTTGAATAATCATTCGACTCTCACATAATTACTTAATTCTTATTATTGGTTCTTTTATGATTGATCACTTTCTCCTAGATCTTGTGACTCGTCATCAAAATGTTATTTGCAGAAAACTTCGTCTTTCATTCTGCACTTCTCATATGGCTAAACAACTGACTGATTTTGAGCGTCAATTTATCGTACTTTTCAAAGAAGGACATCCGACGTGGATATTGACGAAATATGCAGAAAATTTCCATGAATTTTTCAGTCACATCATTCGTCACCATTTTTCAACGGTTGTCTTTCTGAATTTACCGCATATTTTTTTTTACTGGGTAACCTGTATTTCGTGGGAACGATACCAGCGAACCGTGCGCTATAGGAAAATTACGATTTATTCATCGTGAACTAATCTGAAAATGAGGCAATATGACGTTCATTGAACTTATGGCAGAATACAAAAAATTGGTCGTTTTGATGATTGCATTCGAAAACGAATTGCCAAATTCGATGCGTAAACTTCGATAAGAGAATACGCTTGGGTTGTCTTTAGTTTCATTTACAGTCAGTGCTACTTTCTGTCTTTACAGCTTTATCGTTCTTGCATTCACAGGAACAGATTGCTCTTATGAGCTCACCCCCCCTCTCTCTCTCTCTCTCTCTCTCTCTCTCTCTGCATATGCATGAATAAATACAGTGAGAGGGGAGAGAGGAAAAGTAAGTATAGGAAACACACACACACACACATACATACACACACACACATATATATATATATATATATATATATATATATATATATATATATATATATATATATATATTATTAATTATTTTAAAAATTATAACATAAATATGTTATAAAATCACTACAAAAATAGCCACTTCGTTTCAACACATTTCCTTTTGAAACATTATCACTTGATAAGACACCGGAGGTGTTGAAACAAAATGGCTATTTTTGTAGTGATTTTATAACATATTTATGTTATAATTTTTAAATAAATAATTTTATCTGCTCTACTCTGTATTTGTGACACCATTTGGCAGGACAAAAAAAAAAAGAAAAAGAAAAGAAAGGAAAAAGAGAAAGGAAAGAAAGGAAAAGAGAGGCGAGACTTAAGCGTAGATGATAAAATAAACCGCCCACAACCAAGGGCATTGACAATGTTATTTTGATAAGTATCAAATGGCGAAAAGGTGTCATGACCATCGCAGAAAAATTCTAAGTGGATAAGGGAATCGACTATGTTCTGGTGACGGACTTGTGTTATCGGGGATAGATAACAGCCGCTTAATGTTGGCAAACATCTAATTAGCAAACCACAGACCGACTAGCTAAAGAGAACTTCAATTGATAATGTTATTTTGATAATTGACAAAGAACAGGTGAAATACAGGGCTTTGGATAGGTAAGAAAAATTAACCGTGTCGTCTGCGAAGCCGCACACGAGGTCAACCTTGAGTAACGGCTGACCGTTTTTTGACAAGACATCTTCGGTTGTGATAACAAAACTATGTTATCAGAAATTGGCACCAAAGAATGACTAGAACAATGGAACTGTTTTTTCGAGGCGACGGTCGACTGTGTTGTGCTAGTCGACCACCCATTCTGATAATAAGCGAAAATCTGACTGACGAGGTCCAGATGAAGAATTGAGGTTATCACACTACTGGTCGCATTGTTCTGTTGGCGGCCAGAGAAGGTAAGAGCTGCGATTAAGGAAAGAAAAGGAAAAGAAAAAGATAATTTTTTTTGAGCAAGATATATTTTTTTCTTCCTGAAACAAAGCCAGCTGGATCGCACACGCCCGGCTGGACATCATTGGCCGGAGGTGATCACGTGACGCAAGGAGGGAAGCCGCCGCCGCCCATTTAGAGGATGGGTATGAGAGGCCGCTACGAAGAAGTGGGGACGACCGTTGACGCCCCTCTGAAGTATGGTGAGAAGGTGGGAGTAAGAGAAGACTTCCAAATATGAAAAGAAGTGGAAAATTCCTAACCAAAAATAAAAGAAGTGGATATGTATTTAGAATTATCGAGGAGCCTCCGACGCCGACAAACCCATCCCGATTTTGGTCGGCGTCCATATAAGCAAAGTCGCAGCGAGCAGAAATCAGTTGAGTTGAGTTGAGATGAGTAGAGTTTCTCGGGGAGTTTCCCGGAGAGTTCAGCAGAGAAGAGTGCCTCGCAGCTGACTAAGATTCGCGCAGCTTCCGAACTCATCTTCAAATCCAAGAACAATTTATTTTGAAGAGCGACTTAGATCCATACCACCAAAATAGGTTTTTTTTCGACTTTCGCCTGAAGATACGACAAGAACCAATTTCTTAAAGAACAGACAACTTAAGATGTTGGAACTCGCCTAGCAAAGAACAACGTGTCACAATCCATATAGCGGGTCGGGAGATAGACGCAGTCCTATGTATCCAGCAACTAGACATAAAGTTTTGTTATCCTTTTTTTGATACCTTGAACTTTTGAGTTATCATTTTATTTTATTTTATGCATATTTGTGCGGTGTCGCCCTCGTTTGAACTCGATTTGCATTATGGCCCCAACTACTGATTGATTTCGTCTGCCTAAGATCAATTCACAACGTGGGTTAGGGTTAGGGTTAGGCAGACTGGAGATCAACGCAGTTACTTTGGTAACCAGACGTTGGAAGTGAGTTGGGAACGACGAGGCTGATATCGAATCTAACCAGATTCCCATCCGAATCACCAAAAGGTTAGAACGTCACATTTGGATGCCGCGACCGATACCAAGCAGTTGGTCGTCACAGGACGGGACAACACGACTGACGAAACAAGCGGACGTCACGTTTGGAGCGGCGACACCCGAACGAAGCAGCAAGGAGCGAGCGAAGGCTGTGTGTTTAGGGACGTCACATATTGAACATAATTTTAAGAATAGTAATTGTTGGTTATTTTAATTTATTCCGTACACACCAATCATATACTTGGATATATATATATATATATATATATATATATATATATATATATATATATATATATATATGAAATGGACTAAGTCCGACAATTATTTTAAGACATTTTTATGTTTAAATATTCTTTTTATAGATACAAATATTTAAGTAAATCCTCTGTTTTATAATAAACAGTATCAAACAACATTTACCGGTGCGAATATCCGAGAAATCGTCAGACAAAATTTTCGTCCTCCGATGGGATAGAGGATCGATTCCTGTCGGAGGACGAAAATTTTCTATGAAAATTTCTCGGACATTCAGGCCGGTAAATGTTGTTAATACTGTTTATTATAAACAAACATTATAAATATTTGTATCTATAAAAAGAATATAAAAATAAATATGTCTCCATATATATATATATATATATATATATATATATATATATATATATATATATATATATATATATATACCTAAGTATAGGCTTGGTGTATACGGAAATTCCAGTAACCAAAAATATTATTCTTCAAAATAGTGATCAATACAGAGTAGATTAAATATAATTTAATCGAAAATTATAACATAAGTATGTTATAAAATCGCTACAAAAATAGTCATTTTGTTTCAGCACTTCTGGTGTCTTGTCAAGTGATGGTGCAAATTGCAAAATAAAGAGATTTAAGGGTGTCAAACCAAGCAAACCAACTCAATGGGGAAACATTCTTACGTAAGCTACGATGACCAATCAGAATACAAGTATATGGTAATTCAAAATAACGTGTGAACATACACTAAATTCAAACTATTAGTTTATATTAGATTAAAGTCGAAATCAATATAAGCAATAAATTCCACAGTAATATAAAAAATAAAAATTGCATATGTCAAATTCTAAATTTAACCGAGCGTCAAGTTTAAAATCACAAAAAAATTATATATATATATATATATGTAATTTTTTTTATATATATATTTTATATATATATTTTATATATATATATATATATATAATTTTTTTTTATAATTTTAAACTTGACGTATATATATATATATATATATATATATATATATATATATATATATATATATATTTCATTGAATATACAATAGACAAAGTTCTTTGATTTAGTATTTTATACAATTTCTCATGTAATCTTATAATATTTTTCTTTTCGGATGATAAATTATATAAAAACTGTCTAATTGTTCTTTCTTTCCAAGCGTTTTCGGCTATATATTTAGCCATTTCAAGCTCTCGAAAAGAAAGAAAAATTGGACAGTTTTCATATAATTTATCCTCCGAAAAAAAAAATATATAAGCATCTTGTCTGTCATTGCTGCCAAAATACACAAATTATATATATATATATATATATATATATATATATTGTTGGTAATCTTTAAATTAATGTCAAGCGTTAACTGTAAACTATATCTGTGTTTTTGAAATTATCTTCAGTATGCCTATATATGCTAATTCATTCTTTTCATCTTTCCCCACTTTTTTCTTCTCACCCCTGCTTCTACATATGAGACGCTGATAACGAAAATCGCACGGCAGCTCATGACGTCACACCTTACCACGCGAGAGTAAAAACGAGAAGTATTAAGTATGGGAAGCCATCGGTATAAACCAATGCACAAATTTGTCGCTGCTTAGAAATCTTCCATGTACACAAAAACAGACTATCATTATTGTTTTGTCCGTGTATTGTTCAATATATTGTAATGCAATTGTCATCTTTGATAATGGCTTATGTAAGCCGAAAGATTAAAAAATATGTATCAATATGGTGATTTTATTTCGTCTTTTAATGATAATGTTATTAAGCTTATCAGAAGATATTGCTTTTATGTTTAAGCATAATTGAAAACAAACAAAACAAGTTTTGAAGCTATATACATAAAACATCTGAAACCTAACCTGAATAAAATAAACTAAGAAATATCCACAAATATTCCTGAATGTCTATAATTGGTAACAGAAGCCATTGGTTTATACCAACGGCTTCTCATACTTTAATACTTCTCGTTTTCACTCTCGCGTGGTCATGTGTGACGTCATGAGCTGCGGTGCGATTTTCGCTTCCAGCGTTTTATATGCACGACTTTGTCGTTGCTTGGAAATTATCCATGTAAACAGAAACAGACTTCATCACTGTCTTGTCCGTATATTGCTTAATATATTGTAATGTAATTGTCATCTTTGATATTGGCTTATGTAAGCCGAAAGCTTAGATTGGATTAAAAAATATGTCTCAATATTGTGATTTTCTTTCTTCGTTTAATGTTAATGTTATTAACCTTATCAGACGATATGAAAATAATTCACATAGAATAAATAGACAACATTTTTTTATATTATTTAATGAAACATGTATCAATATATATATATATATATATATATATATATATATATATATATATATATATATATATTTATGAATAAAAAATGACAATAGGAAAAGTGGTAATTGCTGACGCGTTTCGTCCAATGTGGACTTTATATCTGTGTGTAAGTTTTGTTTTCCATGTCGACAAATATGAAAATTTCTCCGATTTAACCAGTAGAGAAGACAATATTTATGTATAAAAATGACAATAGGAAAACTGGTAATTGCTGACTCGTTTCGTCCAATGTGGACTTTATATTATATTATATATTTGTCGACATGGAAAACAAAAACTTACACACAGATATATTGAACGAAACGCGTCCACAATTACCAGTTTTTCTATTGTCATTTTA